CAAAATAGACCAAACCCGGATATAAGAGAAACTCGGATATAAGAGAAACCCGGATATAAGAGAAACCCGGATATAAGAGAAACCCGGATATAAGAGACGACTTCTCCGGTCCCGACAACTCTCTTATATCCGGGTTACACCGTATTTGTTTATTCACTGAGAAATTACTTTTGATCAAGTCGGTGTACACATTGTTCGAAAGCTTAGAGATCAACATTTTCACAATCTAAAATAGAAAATTTTAAAAAAAAAGCTACTGCATAAGGTAGCGAAGGAAAGCGAGAAAAAAGGACTAAGCATAAACAGGAAGATATAATGCATGATAATCAGAAGAAAGGATGATCCCAAAATGCAAAATACAGGCCGGGGATAGTAAAATCAAGCAGGTACAGAAATTTAAATATCTGCGAAGTGTTCTAACAGGGGACGAAAAATGCGACACTGAGATCCGAAGATGTATTGGGATGGCCAATGATGCTTTCGAAAAGCTAAACAGAGTATTAAGAGACATGAGACTTTCGTTGGAAACAAAGAGTATTGAACTCTTCCGTGATATATGTCCTGCGGTATGGGAGCGAATGCAAGAGAATCTGCTCAAAGATAAAGACTCGAAGAACAGAAATGTTCTACAGAAGGAGGCTGAGGATACCATGTGAGTAACGATGAGGCTTTCGAGAAAATCGGAAGAGACATGCTTAATATCAGGAAGAGTCAGCTGAAATTTTTGGGACACGTTATGAGGAAAGAGAGCTTGGTAAATCTGATACTCACAAGACGGATAGAGGAAAAGAAAGACAGGGGAAATCAACGCATGGGCTTCAGCAAGTGGATGGCAGAACAAGGTTTGGGAGAATTAACAAAAAGACAAAACTTGTTAAGAACTACACAAGCCAGGAAAAGGTGAAGGGCCATGATCGCCTACGTCCTGAAGTAAGACGGCACATAAAAGAAGTCAGTGTTTGATTTTAGCGAACACAATGCAGGTAGTTCAATAGTGTAAAGTAGTTATCAAGTTTGTCTCTCAATCTACACCATGTGTTATCTGGTGAGCCTAGAATAAACATAGATGATCCTGTGTAGAGGATAAAAGGATCCCAGAAGATGGCACCTACCAAATATATAAATACTTATAGTCTCAAAATAAGACTTGTTTACCTAAGAATCAAGTAAATATTGCAGATTCAAATACAAACGACAAATATCTACCTTTCCCCAAACCAAGTATGGACTCAAATATTTATCCATCACGGAGCCAAGTAATGCATACATATTCCGAATAACTATTCCGGAACAAAGTAATTTTTTTATAGACTCAAATATAAAAGGCCACAATTTACATATCCTCGAACCAAGTAATTAACTCTTGGCTTAAATATGAACAACCCACATTTACATAACGCTGAACCAACTAAATGCTTATAGGCTCAAATATACACGGCCAACATATACCTAGCCCGGAACCAAGTAAATTCTTATAGGCTCAAATATACACGGCCAAGATATACCTAGTCCCGAACCAAGTAAATACTTATAGGCTCAAATATACACGGCCAAGATATACCTTGTCCTGAACCAAGTAAATGCTTATGGGCACAAATATACACGTTCAATATATACCTAGTCCCGAACCAAGTAAATTCTTATAGGCTCAAATATACACGGCCAAGATATACCTAGTCCTGAACCAAGTAAATACTTATAGGCTCAATTATACACGGCCAACTTATACCTAGCTCGAAACCAAGTAAATGATTTTAGGCTCAAATGTACACGGTCAACATATACCTAGTCCCGAACCAAGTAAATACTTATAGGCTCAAATATACACGGCCAACGTATACCTAGCCCCGAACCAAGTAAATACTTATAGGCTCAAATATACACGGCCAACGTATACCTAGCCCAGAACCAACTAAATGATTTTAGGCTCAAATATACACGGTCAACATATACCTAGTCTCGAACCAAGTAAATACTTAAAGGCTCTAATATACACGGCCAAGATATACCTTGTCCCGAACCAAGTAAATGCTTATAGGCACAAATATACACGGTCAACATATACCTAGACCCGAACCAAGTAAATTTTATAGGCTCAAATATACACGGCCAAGATATACCTAGTCCTAAACCAAGTAAATACTTATAGGCTCAAATATACACGGCCAACTTATACCTAGCTCGAAACCAAGTAAATGATTTTAGGCTCAAATATACACGGTCAACATATACCTAGTCCCGAACCAAGTAAATACTTATAGGCTCAAATATACACGGCCAACGTATACCTAGCCCCGAAACAAGAAAAAATGCTCATAGGCTCAAATATACACGGTCAATATATACCTATCCCCGAACCAAGTAAATACATATAGGCTCAAATATACACGGCCAACTTTTTACCTAGCCCCGAACCAAGTATATACTTATAGGCTCAAATATACACGGCCAACGTATACCTAGCCCTGAACTAAATAAATACTTATAGGTTCAAATATACACGATCACAATTACATAACCATGAACAAAGTAAAAACTTAAAGTCGCAAATATAAACGACCTGCAATTACCTGGCCCTGAATAAAGTAAACGATTATAGGCTCTAATATACACGGCCAGCATATACCTCGCCCAAACTAAGTAAATGTTTCTATGCTCAAATATAAACCAAGCTCAAATATAAACGATCAACATTTAATTTTCCCAAACAAAGTAAATGATTATATGCTCAAATGTAAACCCGGCTCAAATATACACGATCAACATTTACCTAGCCCCGAACATTTATAGGCTCAAATATACACGGCAAACTATTACCAAGCCTCGGACGAAGTAAATACTTATAGACACAAATATACATTGCCAACATATATCTTACCCCTAACTAATAAATGCTTATAAGCTCAAATATACATGATCGACAATTACCTACCACCGAACAAAGTAAATGTTTATAGAATTAAATATAAACGACCAATATTGACCTATCAAGGAGCCAAATAAATACTTGTAGAGGCAAATAGAAACGATCAATATTTACCTATATCGGAACCAAGTAAGTCCTTCCAAACACAGATATAAAGCATTAATATTTATTCCCGTATATCATTATGAACGCAGATGTACGCAAGCAATAATTACTCCATAATTGAATATATACTCAAATATAAACTAGCGTAATTTACCTGTCGCTGAATGAAGTAATTACTTATATATAAAGAGACCCGTAAACCGCCTGAGTAGTAGCAGTAGTGGTATTTCTGGGCAAAATAATCTGACGAAGCCCCGCTATCTCCAGGCTGGTTTGAATTCAGTTTTCCTTCTCCATGACGAGTCGTCAATCAAGGCTCCATGGCACAGTCTGCCCTGCTATTTACACATAGTTTCGCGAAGGGATAGATTCAATCATAGCTTTTCCAAGTATTCATACCTTCAGGTAAGTTTAATATAATGAACCCGATTGGAATTCGAACTCGGCTTCCTCCTATTCCTCAATCTTCAATAATTCCAGCCTTCATCCATACCTATAGGCTTAACTATAAATTAACAATATTTGTCTATGCTTAAACCACGTAATACTTCTTTTTTATATGACACATCCCTTGAGGATAATGGCTTCCACAATTTCTTGTCCTTTGTGACACTTAATAAATTTTACCTTCTTCTATATGTACAAATGCTTATTCTGCCATGCATTTGCAGAATATGGTTATTCAGGTTATTGTCTGCTTTCCCCTGTCTCTAGTCTTCACTATGTCCTGTGAGAGTCAAATTTTTAAAGTCCGCATTCCTGATTATGTGCTATACAATCATATATATATATATATGTGTTTGTGTGTGTGTGTGTGTGTTTGTGTGCTTAATTATATCACTTATTTCCTGAATAATTTATCTAGACTTTTCAGTTAACTTGATGAATATTTATGAGTGTATCTTATATTAAACAAATTTGAAAACTAACATTTTTACTTTTGTTTATAAATACTTAAGGCAAAGTAAAACTGTCACATTCGTCTTAAATCAGAAAAATAAACACCTTGTCCAAGATAAGTTTTCCATTTGTCTTTATTCATATATATATATATATATATTGTCGTCTACGGACAGATCGTTTCGCTGTATCACAGCTCATCAGTGTGGTTAGACGTCCGGTTACCTCTAGCTAGGATCGAAACCCGACTGAATTTGCGTCAGTTGGGGATTCTACCACTAAGCCGTTGGCGCACGGCAAGGATGTGAGTGAATTTCGGCGTATTTATTTTTAGATAAACACACAGTGACTGAGAGAACTCGATTCGATTTACCGAAGAGTCTTGCATTATTAGCCGTAATAGTCACTGTTTACAAACCCACACTTCCTCTCCAGAGAGCTCAACCAAAACACATTTTTCAGGAGCATATATATATATATATATATATATATATATATATATATATATATATATATATATGTGTGTGTGTGTGAGAGTGTGTTTCTGTGTGTGTGTTACATTAGTCTTATATCAGAAATCTAAATACGTTGTCTGAGATAAGTTTTCCTTTTCTCTTTATTCATATATCTGTATGTCTGTGTGGGTACGTGTGTGGGTACGTGTGTGGGTTCGAGGTTTTATTGAAAGTTTGAGTTTAAATAGCGTCTCTGTTCTGTCATATAACCAGTATACATACGGGAATTATTGCGAGTAATGTTCCTGTACGCATATAAGTATTACTCGTCGTTTCAGAAGTTTAGGTAATTATTCCGTGTACATATGGATGCCATATACGACAAAAGTTCTCTTTGGTGTGGGTAGATGCCAAAAACAATGCTATGCTTTGTGGATCTTTGCTGCCAACATTAGATCCTAGAATTCTCTTCTATCCAATTTTAGTATAATAGGTACACACTGTTTAGAGGACGGATGGCTGGTCACGACGCGCCTATTTTGACGTAATTCTTGTTTTAACACTCAAGCCATTGGATCTGCCAAGTGAAAAGAGAAAGACAGGTTTCGATAGAA